CTAGTAGGTTAGACCCTGAATTGAAATTGAAGGCATCAGAAATGTTGCAGAAATTTTTAAAGTATTGGGATGGTATCAAAGGTGTCAACAAGATGTTGATCTTAGCGACCATCTTTGACCCTACAAAGAAGATGCATTTCGCCAAGCTCTGTTTTGAGAAGCTATATGGGAAAGATAGCTTGGAGGCTAAGAAAATGGGAAAATCGGTGACTGATCTGCTCACATCCATGTTTGAGGAGTACAACAATCGTTTCAAAGGCTCCTCTGGACAAGCATCACAACAAAATGAAGCCTCTCGGGTCCCTGGTACACAGTCTCATGAACAACCAGGGGAAAGCATGGAACTGGTGGTTGAGGATTTCGGTTATGAAAGGATGGATGCTGTGTATAAAGATCTTGTTGCTGAGAAAGGTGAAGATACTAGGGATGAGCTTGAATTTTACTTGAAGGAAGCTGTTGAGAATCCAAAACTCATACTAGGAATCGAGTTTGACGTTTTGTCGTGGTGGAGGGTGCATAAACTGAAGTACCCGGTGCTTGCAGAGATGGCAAAAGACCTATTGGCTATGCATGTTTCATCAGTTGCATCAGAAAGTGCTGAACAACACAAGTGGGAGGATATTAGAACCTTATAAAAGCTGCTTAACTCACTACATGATAGAGGTTCTTATGTATACTGAGCAATGGCTTCATGATGACATTAAGCTTAAGGAAAATATCATCACAAATGAACAAATTCTAGCTGATATTGAAGAGCTTGATAAGCTTGAGAAAGGTATGACTTCTTTTTCCATTGTTATGTATTCATTTGCTTTAAGTTGCTGTCAATTTACTGATTTTTTGTTTGTTTTATTGTGTATACTCGTTTGCTCTTTTTATCAGAGTTTGAAGCTTACAATAATGAAGTTTGAAGGCTGGAGATTGAAGTTTTAAGGCTGGGGATTGAAGTTATGAGCTTATTTTTATCTCATTGAATTATGTTGCTTTGTGTTTGGTTTTCACTTGGATAATGGTGTTCTTTGTTTTGGTTTTCATTTCATTTCAATAATGGTGATCTTTGTTTCACTTCTATTCTAATAAAGTTTTGAAGTTTCTCTCATCTTTGTGTTACATGTTTTATGAGTTCGAATTGAATGGATCACCATGTTTTATGAGTTCGAAGTGACGTTACTTGTATGCATTACATGTTTTGCTTAATCATTTGTAACTTGTATGTATTTCAGGCTTTTGGCACATACCAAAGTGAAGCAAAACATGTTTTTTATGTTTCTGCAGTATAACCGAACAACCGATTTACAACCAAAACCCGATTGATTTTATAGTGATTCGGGTTTTCAAAAAGATATAAAATCCGAACCGAAACCGTCGAAACCCGAACCGAAATCGAACCAAATTTTAATATTATCCGAATGGGGTTATTTTTCTTACACCCGAACCCCCGACACACTAATGGATCTAAACCGACACCCGAATGGACCACCGAATGCCTACGCCGACTAGGAGCCGTGTGAGATAATATGAATTTAGTTAGATTAGTCCTTATCTTCAATGTGGATCTCACTTTTTTTTTGTCAACCTGGGTCTCACTTTCTTATTTCTAAGTTTTTATCTAGTTAATTCTGTTTATATTTGTATTATTTAGAAACTAAGTTAATACATAACATAATCTCTCTCTCTCTCTCCAAATCATACTACCACTGATTGTTTTTTTCTCCGGTCTGGCATCGCACCGATACAAAAGATTCTCCTTTATTATCTTAATCTTTTTTTTTATTTGCCTCTTTTGGTATCTGCTTAAACCTTATTTGATATATTGTCGATTCTGGAACCACTTCTCTTCATCGGGAATTTGAAGTGGTTAAAGGAGATTCAATGGTGGTTCTGGAAAAGCGACGAGACTATGGAGCGATCAAAGTACGGGAGGTCAGCTTTTAGGATAAAAAAACCCATCATATCTAGCTTTTTCAATTCTCAGATTTACGATATTTCTTCCATGATGACGATGCGTGGTCTAGTGGGAATCCATCTCCGTCTTGGATCTACCCTGCTGAGCAGTAGTGAACTAAACAGAGGTGCGATTGAAAAGTGGCGAAGATGGTTTTGTTTCTCTGGTTCTTGGAGGCAACGTATGGTTTGGCTCTTCGACATCGCGTTGTCAACCGGTGGAGTAAGCATGTACAAGGTGGGGTCTTACTTCCCAGCACCGGCGGAAACTCAATGGTTATATCCGATGGTAGGGTTTCACGCCATTTGAAGCCATGAGATGTTGTTCCGAATCAGGCTTTACTGTTGTTAATTATGCATTTGAAACAGCTTTTATGCCTTTTTTTACAACTACGAATTGAGAAACTGAGGTTGATGATACTGAATCTAGTTGGGAGATGCACTATTCGGTGTAGACACATTGGTTCGAGTGCTGCATTGTAACGATTTGACGACCAATGCTTGGGTTTTGATGTTTAACCTCGATTAGGGTTAGTTAAGCTTGGGTTTCATGTTGGTTCACGCACCCAAACGAGCACCAGCCTCGTTCACTTGTGTGATCAAATTATAGGACTTTAAAAAACAATTCTCTTTAGATTGTGGAGGGAACTCATTCACATCGCATAAAATTACTACAAAGTATCGTTTTAGATAGTTTAAGATCCATCTATGTGTTCGTAATACTAAATCACTTTGTTTATAAATGTAGTTGAACCCTTATGGTTGAAATTATGTACTATTCTTTAGTCAATTGAAATTGAAATTGAGTCAAAAAAAAAAAAAAAAAGAAGTTAAATCTATTTTCTTGGGTTAGACTAGTTATATCTATTACACTTAGTTGTGTTTGTAAAGACATTGTAACAAATTTATCCTATTAAATTAGCATCATGAACAATTGATATTGTTATGTCCAATTATTTTTTATTTATGTCTACTTTTTGATATTAATAATTGTCGTTGTTTGACCAAAACAAAAATAACTGCTGTTAGATATTTTTTCAAAAAACTGTCGTTAGATAGGTTCAATTCTTTTCCACATTTTTCTCTATGTCAATATCATTAGGTATACATGTCTTTAGTATATACTAGATCTTTTGGCCGCGCTACGCGCGGCTATTTTGTTAAATAAAATTTCCAATTATATTATTTGTATATATAATATATTTTATAATTAAATTTATAATTAAAAACAGAAACAATAGAATATTAAATTAAATAGAAAAAGATAACGGTTGACAAAATTTTAAATTAGGTATGTATATGTATATATATATATATATAACTATAAAATAATTTTTAAGACTTTTAATCATTGTTTGAAGCTAAAATGATATAGAAATAATATGAAAACTTTAAAATAATATAAAATAGAATGGAAAATAATTTATTTAAATATATATTAGAAACAATACAGATTTTTATGAAAGTTTTGTTTTTAATTTTCATTTTTTAACTTGAATTTGAAAAATAATCAGGGTTTAATATCTTATTGGACCATCGTTTTTAGTGAGTAACCGGTTCTTAAACCGAATTTGTTGATTTTTTAGCAGAACTCGCAATTGTTTAGAAGAAAGAGAGTCATGATCCAACCAGCCAGTTCCGGTTTTTAAAACACTATTTTATCATAGATCATCTCTTTTAATAACAAACAACGAAATCGTCATAGTAGACATATTTTTATTATGAACTTATGTCAAAACATATACATATTTAACTGAAATTTTTATTTATTGTTTAACTGTTTAAAAAATAAAATAATTGCCATCTTAATTTTTTTTTTTTTTCAAGTTTCCAAAGACTATGCAATATGAACCAAATTGTATGCATGAAATAGATCAAATTATAACTTTATAACAAATACATAGAAAACTGTGTAACCACCATATGTATTTAAATGACTGGTTGAAATAGTAATAAACAAATATTTGTGAATATCATTTATGTCCTATAATATTCGATTTATTTAGATCTAATTTCCAATCATTATAAATATAAACTAATTATTTTCATGATTGTGTATAATTGTCTACAAAAGATACTAAAACAGATTTTGAAACAATAAAATATTAAAGATTAGTTCTACTTTATAATAGATTAATTACTACAGAGAAGGCCTATACGATAAATAATTGATACGATAGCATTGTACTTGATATTTATATAAAAATATATTACTTTATGTTATAAAATTATAAATAGTAAATTAAATTAGAAATGAGTAAAACTCAAAATTTATTAGTTTTATTATCTAAAATATGAATGGGATAGTGTACAAATGTGAAATGAATGAAGAATTTATTAAACCTTAATATTAAATAATATCGTCAATAGGTATAAACAAATGGACTATAATTAGTTTCCAAAATAATACTTTATTCCTTACACCATTTTCACTTATTATTTAGTTTTGGAGTAAAAAAATTAAATATAGCTGAAGAAATATTCAACACAATTTTAGGATTATTTTAGTTTGACATGAAAATAGAATAATTTACTAAGATTACCACTTAATACTACTAATACTCAAATTTAGGTGAATGGAATATCAGAAGAAGGAACAGCATGTTAAGAAAAAATAAGCAAACTCGATCCTTATTTATAAGGGAATACATACAGCTTTCTATTTCTATTGTTACATTGGAAGAAAAAAGTGGTGCCTGTGAAATAGGCTCCCACTACTACATGCATAGAGGCTCTGTGCCAAGAAACCATCATGCGCATCCTCAGTAAACTCTGATACATCTTTTGTACCACGGTGGTTCTTTTTTTTTTTTTGTCACTGTACCACGGTGGTTCTTTTAAACTTCAGAAAATCAGGACCTTCTCTCACGTTTCTATGATTATATAACATCCATATATTTATCTGTAGACTGAAAAAAGAACAAATGATGGATCAACATGTATAATAAAAAAAAATCAAACCAAATTTTCTTTTCTTAATATGGTTTTTGTGTGAATGACAGAAGTTGAAACCTATGATGTTCTGTGTGGTGATCAAAACCCGCTTTAGTACATGTTTAACGGTGAGCAGAACCACCAGGAGCAGCTGCTGCAGCCGCTGCTGCAACTCCTATTCCAGTGGTGGCCTGTAACAGATTTGTATCTATTACAATCCTGTCACTCATGTTTTCAGCCTTGTGCATTCCAGTTCGAGCCAAGATAAACGGGTTGTTTATCTATGTTGATGGCTACGTCTGGTGTATCTATTGTACTGAGATATCTGTATTGCCTGCTTCTCAGACTCCATGGTTGATGTTGTTCTCCTCTTTTGTTGCTTTCCCATGGTGACTGTTGCTGCAGACTGTTGTGCAAAGGGAAGAGAACTGTTCCGGATGAATGATCTCGGAAGTTTGTACCTTTTCTTAGAGGGAGAGAGAAGAATATCTTTGGAGTTGCTTCTGCACAGACAAACTCCGGACCTCAGTGTTCGCATGGAACCTTCAACCAAAAAAAAAAAACACTCTTTTGTAAGATAAGAATTTTCTATACAAAACCTGTAGCTTACCAATGGAAATGTGATAGGAAGTTCTCATCTGCTCTTGTTAATATATATATCATGAAATATACTCACAAAAGAAAACATAAAAGATAATGTACCTCTGTCTGATTATGTAATAGTTTTCCTTACTCTCCTTTACATGCAGGATCTTTCTGGGTAAGAAAGTTAAGTATTCTTCATAAGGATATATTTACAGAAGAAACTTCCTCTATCTAATATACATCAACACTATTACAACTTCAGAAGAAGAAAATTCCGTTTTTGTTCTTGGTAAACGGGAATGGATGCAGAATTGTTAGAAAATACACTTCATTGAATTCATGATTTATGAATTTTAAATGGTTTATGAAACTCTGAAAACTATATAAGAAAAGCAACTCAATGGCACATAAGAATTATATCTCTGTGAGACTCATAGTGATAAATCAACGTGGTTATTTCAATAAGAGAAACCAAGTTATCTTAAAGATGCAACTACCATACCAGTCAAGCTAAGAGAGAACAATCAATTAAACACACTTTGAGAAACAAACAAAATATTTATGAAAAGAGAGAAAATGCATCTCACAGGCCAAGCAATTGAAATTACAAAACAAACCATTACTGCAGAAAGAGTAATATCTTCTCAAAAGCAACCTTTAGGAGTTTTAAGCCTACCTCTTCCGCTTGCTCTCGCCTATATAAAAGTGGATGGTAACTTAGTAAAAAAGATATAAGAAGTAACATGAATGCAGCATTAGAATACCTTATTGGAAGCAATGGATCACAACATGATATATGTCTGGCCAAGAATCGTTATCCTCGGATCGGAATTGGAGAAGAAGTTCGTGAGAGACATAAGATATATAGGGTGAATCTGGTGGAATTAAATCGTTAAGACGCCATTGGAGTGTTATAGTAATGAGGCTTTGATGAATCGAAGTGGTGGAGAAGCCGTTACGCCGGAGAATCAGAACGTGAACTTTGGAATACGAAGAGGAAGAAACTTGTCGTGTTAGTACAAATAAGAAACCTAATAGTTTTGATGGGCTGGGCTTCCTACATGGCTCAGAATCAATTACATGGCCTGATTTAGCTGCAAGTTGGGTTTGTTCGTGAGATTTAGCAGGTGAGATTGTCTGACGTGGCAAAACAATAGAATATAATTGGTCGAATAAAAATGCATACGTGGACAACTTAAGAGTTGAGTATATCAATACTATTAAAAGAGAAGGAGTCTTAAAAAATCTACCTATGAAAGGTTATTGCACCCTTTCATTTTTTAGTCTAACCCATATATAACCAAATCATATATAACTACCCTATTTTATAGTAACCAAATGAGATTCCATTATTTTCCATATTTTATCTATTACGAAAATTGATATATTATAACTTCCTTTTTCATCTT